TTGCTCGATTTCTGGTTATATTGAACGGGACAACAAAGGGTGCTATGCCAACATTATGGTGAATATTTAGTCCTATAGGTCTTGCTGTATTCAATGTCTCAATCCAATTGGCTTCCCAAGATTGACAGAATTTGGTAGTTTCATCTTCGGGCAAGTAAATTTCTATGCGCTCAATTGGGATTAGGGTGAGATTGTTTATTGAATGGTCGTCGAGGTTGAAATGATTAGAAACATGCCTGTCTTTCCTTAATTTGATATCCGACCTATGAGCATTAAAATGAGTTCGTAAATTTTTCTTAGTTTCTCCTACATATTGTTTGGGTCATTTCTTGCATGAAATTAAATATATATAATTCGAATATTACACTATACACTTAAATATCCAGTATATTTGTTTCTGCCATGGAATCTCCCTTAAAGACAGTGGTATCGAGAAAGTCTATGCTTTTGTCACTCACGTTTGCGGTTAGTTTGATGGAAGGATGGAATTTCAAAGAATTCCCAAAACTGTTCGATAGAATAAGTCCAAGCCATAAAATTGTCATCCTAAAAGCGTCCGTAAAAAGTGGGTCAAATGGACAGAGGGGCAACACCTCACGTTCCCATTCTGCCATGAAAAGGTTTGCGTTCGAAGGGGCGAATCGTTTGCCCATAGCTGTCTCGGAAGTTTGTAAATATGTTTTACCATTAAATGTGAAATCGTTTCGACTAAGACAAATCTCTAAAAGCTGTAGAATTGCATCGTCGGGTCTGTTTGGATCTTAAAAGTCGATTTCTATGCGGTCAATTGAGATTAGGGTGAGATCGTCTATTGAATTAAAACGAGTTCGTAAATTATTCTTAGTTTCTCCTACATATTGTTTGGATCTGATGGACAAGGAATATTCTTAGATCAAAGTGTTAAGGATATTTTCCTAATATTATTTGCAGATTATTTATGTCTATTAGCAGACACTATAGGCCAACTAACACGCCAAGATGAACTTGCATTGTGCTGCGATAAATATGATATGTCATTTTATACTCTAGGTTTTGGAGCTGTGTGGGAAAATCAAGGAGTATGTAATGCAAAATTATTCTTATCAGAACTAAAACAAAGACTCAAAGATTTTAATTTGCAAACACTTGTACTCATAACAAGGGAAAAGCTGTAGTAGTAGAAGATTTAACAGGACGCTTGAATCAAAACTGTTCACAGAACTAAAGTCTCAAAAATCATACGATCATGATCCCAAACCTACTACCATTATTCTTCATGTAGGCCTCAACAACCGTGATCAGCTACCAAAGACCTCCTTTAACCAAGCCCAGAAATTAATCGCCACAGCCAACAAAACCTTCCCAAACTCCAAGATCCTCTTCACATGTATACCCATTTCAAATAAAATCTCGAAGAAAGCACAACAGAACCTCAGCACTCTCAACAACATGATGATGGAGTCCAGTATCAACAGCGCAACAATCTTACCACCCTACGAAGAAGAATTCGAACCAGTTGATAATCTTCATTGGTCTCCAGAAACAGCAAACAGCATTTATTTGTTTTGGATACACCAGCTTCAAGCATCGAGTAGGTCTTTTAACTAATTACTGGGGATAAAAATACTGAGAGGCCACCGCTAGGCCAAACTGTAGTTAACTCGAGCCGTAAAATTCTCACACCCCTTCAGCATTCAATCTTAGACCGTGGACTTAAATTTACTCCCACACCAAAGATAGCTAACTTGAATTATCTCCGACCATCCATTGAACGATTTCAACGAAATCTTAGCTGCACATATTTTTTTCGAAACCACCCCCCACTTGGTGCTAGAACAATGTTCATTCCTAAATCCACGTGGACACCCCCTCAGGCCGCCATCCATCCTGAAATATTGAAAGCATTTGCGAGTATGAATAGCCAAACAGTGAACCTTTCCATAACACACGAAAATCCTAATCTTACACGAGTGGAACGTGAAGCGTTAAACTTACTTAAGAAAGACGATAGCATTGTTATTAAAAAGAGTGACAAAGGTTCATGTTGTGTCATTCTGAATAGGGAGGATTACGTTTCAGAAGCAGAGAATCAACTGAATAATCCTAAACATTATGCCATTTTACCGAAACCAATTTTCAAAGAAACTGCTAACATGATTAACAATATTCTTGCCGATTTAGTCAAAACTAGTTATCTCAAACAGAAACAATATGACTATCTGTCTGCCAAACCTGATTGTCGCGAGAGACATTTGTACACTTTGCCTAAAATCCATAAGAATCCAACCAAGGAGTGGTTTATCTCGAATAAAATCCCTAAAGGCCGCCCGATTATATCTGACTGTGGTAGTGAGTCATATGCAGTGTCAAAATACATTGATCATTTCTTACTACCTCTAGCATGTCATCATCGCGCCTACCTTAAAAACACAACCGATTTTGTCAATAAAATAAAAAATCTTCGAGTTCCCTCTAATGCTTTTTAATTTCTATCGACGTTTCTTCTATGTATACCAATATCGATAACACTACTGGTTTAACGGCAGTTCGTAAAGCTTTTTATAGAAACCCAGATCCAAACAGACCCGACGATGCAATTCTACAGCTTTTAGAGATTTGTCTTAGTCGAAACGATTTCACATTTAATGGTAAAACATATTTATAAACTTCAGGGACAGCAATGGGCAAACGATTCGCCCCTTCGTACGCAAACCTTTTCATGGCAGAGTGGGAACGTGAGGTGTTGCCCCTCTGTCCATTTGACCCACTTTTTTACGGGCGCTTTTTGGATGACATTTTTATGGTTTGGACTTATTCTATCGAACAGTTTTGGGAATTCTATCAAACTAACCGCAAACGTGAGTGACAAAAGCATAGACTTTCTCGATACCACAGTCTTTAAGGGAGATTCCATAGCAGAAACAAATAAACTGGATATTAAAGTGTATTTCAAAGAAACTGATACCCATCAACTCTTGCACAAGAGCTCCTTTCACCCAAAACATACCTTTTCTGGTATAATTAAGTCACAAGTTTTACGATTTCATCGAATTTGTACAAGATCTTCTGATTTCAACCAAGCCTGTTCGATTGTTTTCTCAAAACTGAAAGAGCGTGGGTACTCTAAACGATTTTTACGAAACATAAAAAATTCCACCTTAGCACAGATAGCAGCTAAAAACAGACTTTATGCCGAAGTACCTCCAGGTTTAAGAAGTGCTCCATGTTTGTCCAGTAGATGCAAAACATGTCCCTTTATATCAGAAACTCATTATTTTGTAAGCAACTCTACGATTAAAAGGTACCTGATCCAGGAACATCTAACATGTGAACATTCGAATGTAATATATTTAATTTCATGCAAGAAATGCCCCAAACAATATGTAGGAGAAACTAAGAATAACCCAGACATCAAATTAAAGAAAGACGAGCCTGTTTCTAATCATTTCAACCTCGACGACCATTCAATAGACGATCTCGCCCTAATCCCAATTGAGCGTATAGAAATTGACTTGCCCGAAGATGAAACTACCAAATTCCGTCAATCTAGGGAAGCCCATTGGATTGAGACATTGAATACAGCGAGACCTATAGGACTAAATATTCACCCTTTGTTGTCCCGTTTAATACAACCAGCAATCGAGCAAGCAAGATAGTTCATGCCCACTATAAGAGCCTTCTAGAGAAATTCCCCCATGCCTATAAGCAGAAAATGATAGTTGCATATTCAAAAAATAAGAACTTAAATGATAATATTGATCATAGTAAACTAAAAACAATCAGTACATAACAGATACTATACTTCTCGTTATTTTTTCTAATTTCAGATCAGAATCAGAACAGAAGAAAACCCAATATCAAGACCCTTAATCCTAATTTCTAATTAAAGTGCCTGCTCCACCCTAGGCCTGTACATTTGGGAGAATCAAACCCCCCCTTCCCCGAAAACTAAATACATTCAATATCAATACCTGATCTGGAGCTGCATGTCTGACTAGGGGGCATGCTTGGGCTAACAGAAGGGTCTGATCTAGGAGGATCTTGTTCAACCTCTTGTGAACTTTCTGAACTTTAGCAACATCCTGTGGTACAGGATCTAAAAACTCTAGCTTATGCAATCTCTGGATTGCTCTAACAATCCACTGTCAACCCACTGGTAAGTTCCAAATGAACTACTCTGATCACCCCACAAGTGAACAAGGGTATATAAAACTTCTGAGACGGTAAATCCTTACAATACACCGGCCCTGCGAAATCCACGCCAGTGACTGAAAATGGGGGTGCTCTACACACTCTGTCTCCTGGAAAAGGGGCTCCAACCTGATTGCAAGACTTAGCTAACAGACTTTACATAACTGTCTTAACCTGATAATCCAATAACTATTTCTAAGGCAAGTTACTAGGGTAGCAACACCCGCTGGCTTAGACAGGGCATGCTGAAACCTGACTAACAATTTGGAAAGGTGATCCTTAGGCAATATTATAGGATGTTTTTCCTCATAACTGAGTTCTGACCTCTCCAATCTACCTTTCACTCTCAATAAGCCCTCTTCATCTAAATAGGGATACAACTTGAATATGGAAGACCCTTTAGAAACCTCATTTCCTTGTCTCAGAAGCTCTATCTCCTCTGGGAAAGCCCTTCTCTGACTATCCTTGAATAAGCTAATCTTAGCCTTGCTTTGCTCTACGTATGACAACTCTCCAGACCTTTTTCTCTGTGCGATTCCTGACATTATAAATGAACCTCAAAATCCAAACTACTACTCTAATCACCTTAGACAACTTGCTCCAACGATTAACTTCAAACACAGCCTCCCTCTTGACCTGTGTTGCAACTAATACCTCCGAGGCGACAAGAACTTCAGGTGCAGCTTAACAACCTGACACTAGTGGCCACAATTCTACCGACTTAACAAGCCACTCTGGTCCATGCAACCATTGTCAGACTCCCCTAACACAACAGCTGACACTCCTCTCGTCAGAAGATCCGCTGGGTTATCTTCAGTGGGGCAATAGGCCTACTTTCCTGGCTCTGTCAAGCTCACGATCTCAGACATTCTATTAGCCACAAACTGCTTCCAGCGAGCTGGATCTCCTCTTATCCATCCCAAAGCTACCATACTATCAGACCAGCACCTGTACTCAATCCCAGGGGGCAATTCAAGGCTTTGTCTAACAAAGCATAGCAATCTAGCAGCCAACAGGCTAGCCAAAAGCTCGTGTAACCTTCTTCAAAGAGGCAATCCTTGCCCTAGCTACTACTAATGAACATGCATACTTGTTCTCAGAAACCATAATCCTTATATATACAGCCGCTCCATATCCAACAGATGATGCATCCCCAATACATGAAGCTCTATATTCTCAAATTTACCTCAAACTCTGCTTGAGAACTTCCTGGAAATGGACCAAGATCTAACAACTTTGGATTCTTCAATCCATTTTGTGAATTGCAACAACAATTCCTTGGGGATCTCCTCATCCCACGATATCCCTAACAACCACAACTTTTGGAAAAGACACTTAGCTAACATGGTAAAAGGCAACAGCAAACCTAAGGGATCAAAAATCATAGCAATAACACCAAAGACTAAAAGACACCTTGATCCTAAAATAGAAACCTGTCCCTAATGAGATTCAGTCGCACTTTGCTCTATCTCCTTACAGTTAGAGTGCCACTTGGCTAGCTCCATGCCATCACCCTTCATAATCTCCTGAGCTTCATCATACATCTGTCTGGCTTCAACTATCGAGTTAGCACCTGACAGCCAGTCATCTACATACAGATTCGTAGTAAGCTAACTACTGTGGTGGGTTCACATTGACTCAAATGATGCTTCACAGTGGCATTTAACAGAAAGGGACTCGATTTCACCCCAAATGTTACCCTACAAGACCTCATAACCCTTTTCCTACCACCTACATCCCAAACAAACCTGTGAACATCCCTGTCCACCTCCTTCAGACCAATCTGCAAAAAAGCCTTGGAAATATCCGCTGTTAATGCAACTGGCCATCTGCGGAACCTGATAAGCACCTCAACAAGATTAGGTGTTAAGATGGGCCCTGCTTCAATACAATCATTCAAACTACTTTCCCTTACCACAGGTCTGAGGCAAATAAAACACTGCCCCCTCTGTTCCTGTCCGGACTCAATGACTTTATTATCTTCCATCTCCTTAAGTGCATTGTTATATCTCTCTAACAAAGGAGGATCTTTACCCAGCTTCCTACCTAAACCAGCTAATCTACGCTCTGCAGCTACCTCATTAATTCTACTGACCTTTCAAAACTAATCATTATTGGGTCAGCATCCTTGTCCTGTTTCTCAGATATACCAATACTTTCCAAATCCAAAAATCTACGCAGTTCTGTCTCTGAAATGTCATTCAAACATAATAATTGATGAGATGTAAGGACTGAATTGGACCAACCCTTGGCCTGGCCACTAAGTACATAACCTAACCTAGTCTCCTGAGCAACTATCTCCTGTTCAGGGAATCTTATCACCTTGTCCTTAACTATTTCCCAGTAATAATCAAGGCCGATTAAAACATCCACCACTACAGACTCCCTATCTACAGATTTAAAGGGCAGCCCTTACAACCCATGCAAGACCTCCCTCGGAACCTGGGGACGTACAATTGGAGCACAAATAGTTGGAACTTCAATTCCTGTAACAGATAAAGGCATATTATCAATACATGACAATTCAAATTTATAAACATTTCTTGAATATATCTTTGATTTTTCACCACCAAACACAGCATATCTGTGTTGCACTTTGCCCAAACATGGTAACCTAAGTTTTGAGTAATATAGGTGCAGTCCGCACCACTGTCAAACAATACATTTACTGACCTTTTCCAGGTGGGTCCCCCGGCTTCCACAGTCGCAACCTGGAGGAAAACGGCAGTATTTGTTCTGGGGTATGGGGCATAAGCAATTGTAACTTGATTCAGTTTCAAGTCTCAGTCTTAGCATCACCGGTGCCTGTCCTTTCTCCAACTCCATCTCTTTGTGCAGCCCTCACCTTGAGGCACATAATATTAAAGTGGCCACCCCCCCCCCCCCCCTCGCACTCAAAACACTTAATACTAGATGGACAGTTTCTGAAAGTATGGCCTACCTCCAAGCACTTAAAACATAACTTGGCATCTTTGACTACCTGTTCTCTACGAAATTGGTCCATACCACGTAATTAACGACATTTTACAGTTACATGTCCCTTCTTGCACACTCCACACTGTTGCTGGGTTGGTTGGGCTACTAATGCTGAAGCGGTCGGCTTGACCTCTTTAGTCTCTAGGCGCCCATCGCTGCGGGTCTCGGGTATCCGAAATGTGTCAGCCCTCTCCCATCTCTGTATTTCTTCTTTGAGAAAGTCTAATAAAAACTCCAAATTTCCCTCCTTCCCCTTGCCTTTGCGAGCCCACTCTATTCACACATCTGTCGGTAAACGAGAAAGCACCAGAGGGGTAAGGAATACACCATAAGTTGAGCCATCGATTCCTAGAGTCTCCAGGGATCGCACATTGATGGTGATTTCATCCTGGAGATTACTTAATCTCTTTATTCTGGACTTGATGCTTGTCTGACTCTCCAGTCAGACGACATGAGGTTCTGTATGTGACTGAAAATGATCAGCTCTTTCCTGCCAAATCTCTCCTTTAACAGGTTACAGGCAATTCCGTAGTTGTCACTGGTAAGTTTGAGTCCTTTTATCACAGCAGCTGCCTCACTGTCCAGTAAGGATCGTAGGTAAGTAAACTTGGTCACATCAGGTAAATCACTCTTGTGTATTGTGGCCTCATAATTGTCCCACCATGAGGTCCATGTTGTCACATCACCCTTGAAGTGTGTCAATTCCAATTTTGGCAATTTCATTGCAGGCCTTCCAGCCCTGCTGCTACAGGATCCTACAGTCTCATCATCTCCAGCAGGCTTTATCAAATCGGCCAGATACTTGTAAGCCTTAGCTCTTAAATGTTGTACCTCATCAAACAATGGGGCTACTTCTTCCATAGCTTCTTTTGTCTTCTTCAATGAGGCCTTCATACGCTGACTGAGCCTCCTCTAACGCTGCAGCACGGAGCTCCAGTTCTGTCACCCCAACCTCGACAACATGCCTCCCTTCATCCCCAGCTATGTTGGAATGGAGATAGTTTATATTCCTTGTAAGCCAGCCCTTGGCACAGGCTCTTGTCTTCCTCAACTGACCAACATTTGGCCTAACACCTCCCTGAGCACCCTGGTCAGGTCCACCACTTGCATTTTCCTTTTCCATCTCATAAATTCACAGTTACCTGTATCTACAATTTCAGTTTACTATCTACCGTACCAATTTTCTCTCGGCGATACACGGCTTCACAATTCCCGGGTTTCGACACCAAATATTGAGGAAGCAATGAAGAGAAGTAGACAAGATTCATATCACCTTTATTTTCAAACACATGTACGGTTACACTAAAAAACTGGAATACAAATAAAACGAAAAACGAAAATTTGGCTTACATAAAAGTTGGAACGTGACCGTTTCAACAACGATCCCGAACAGTCTTATTGTCGCTTTCTCAAACTTGATAAAGTGTGGGATGCATACTTATTTAACCAATGATCACTATTAAACATAAATACTAGCGATAGGACCAGTGTATTCTAAGACGTAGTATCCTTTTAAGGATATAGGGCCTATATAGTGGGTTACTGTATATATATATAGAATCGTATATATAATTATAATTATATAAGTAATTAGGGTTGTCATCAATTCTTGGTAAAATGAAACACTTTTTAATCCATTTTCGACAGAACAAGTTGTTATTTAATCCATATTCAATTCATGTATACATAATATCTTAGCATGCTTTCAGCTTAATAGCTTCTTCAGAGATATAAAATAATTCTAACTTTCAACAATATATACAATTCGGAGGTCACTATTCAAAACAAACATAAAATACCATAGTTACTCACTTATGCAAGTAAATAAAACTATCGTGTTGAAACTAGTTAAAAACCATAATCAGGGTTATGGGATAATTGATTATTAAATAACAATATAATATAATGAGATAACAATATAATATAATTAAGAAAAGAATTATACATTTAGTTCAGGTTTAAAATTGTTAATGAACCATGATTCTTTTTGTCGTCTTGATTGCACATTGTCAGTAAATAATTGGAAGAATGGGAAGACTTTTATATTTCATATTTTAATATTGTTTTATATTTTGGTATGCTTGTTCATTCAATGTTTGGGCTCAATTGTAAAAAGGCCTGTATGCCTAATTGTTAGCCAAATCAAGAATTTTTGCAGGGCGTTTTCGTAACGATTATTTTTTTCGTCAGCTAGTGCTGACAAATTTGATTTGTGATTTGCAGGAAAACATCTTTCTTATTTCTTATCCGATTTTCATCAAACTGGTATGTATGTGTAACCCAATTTTGTTGTGCGCATGCGCATTACTTACTTTCTTATTTCTTATCCGAATTCCATCAAACTTGGTATGTATGTGTATAATCCAATTATAAATTTGATGAAAATACTGAATTTTTGTTGTGCGCATTGGCATTACCAAATTTATTTCTTATCCGGGTTTCATCAAACTTGGTCTTAATTAATTGACAAACATTCTTTTATTCCTAGTCAATATACTTTAACTCCAGGCACTTTTGGATATTTGCTTTTAGAGATGCAGAAAAGTATATACATCAATGTAATTGCAATAGACCATCATCGTATGTACCTGAATGTCGTAACACGCCCTGCATACTGTTATTAGAACAGTTCTAGTTATTATTATTATTTATTAGTATTTCCAATGGGGTCTCATTTGCGAAATGGAATTTTAACACACTTTTCATCTTCTCAATTTAGTATATTTTCTATAAAATAAAGAGTTTTGAAGAGAACCTTTGGATTTCGCCAAGATCGACATGTTTACTATACGAAATGTCAAAGAGGCTAGAGAGAATATGGTGTGTGTGTGCCTTTTGTAGCCCGTAACAGAACACCTACTTTTTGGGGTTGTCATAATTCACGACAGAAGGAGGATTAAGCTGTAGGCAAACTAGGCAGCTGCCTTTCGGCCCATGACAAATTTTGCAAAAAAAAATATCAAACAGTTAATAAATCGAAAGCGTGATGTGTGAGAATGGACTAAATTGTTTGAGCCTAATGGTGATGAATGCCGATATTGTGCATAGTAGTATAAGGCCTTTCAATATGGTCGCACTTTCCCCCAATTCCATTTCATTCCATGGGGAAAAGTGCAACCATATTGAAAAGCCCAAAAAAAACCTAAATACCCTAAATTTCATAAATTCTTACACTAAAAAAAGACCTATACACCCTACATGTCATAAATTCTTACACCTATACACCCTACATTTCATAAATTCCCACACCAAAACACCCTACATTTCATAAATTCCTACACCAAAACACCTTCAATCAATTCCTACATTCCATCAAAAAAAAAAAGCATATTAAAAATACCCTTATATAAAATAACATCCTTGTTTCGCTTAACATCCGGTTTTAAAATAGCCTCGTTTTAAATAATGTTATTTTTAGTCTAGAAACTTCTAGAAGGGAGATAACTCTCTTTTGGAAAAAAAACAACAGACCACAATTTTCTACTCAATTTTTAAACCTTAAAAATGACAAATAAAATACTAGATCCAATCTTTAGATTATACGACCCGATTCGTTATTCGTTTAACAAGAAAAAAGAGGATTATATTATCATCTCACCGACTGTTGGTTCCCAATTGAAATACGGTGGTAGAATTACCTTCGAAATAAATTCATTATCGAATTGATTGCTTCTTTCCGATGCTTATTTCAGATGTGATTTCAAAATTAAAGATGGAACTCCCAATGAAAATCGTGTACCACAAACAAATACAACGTTAGAAAACAATTCTTTCCATCTTTATTTAGCGAGATGGTTTTGGAAGCTGGTTCAAATCCGATAGAAACAATTAAACATCCTGGGGCATTGGAAACAATGTTGAAAACAGTTTTATATCCTAAAGATTTCGATTCAATCTCAGGTTGGATACCCGATGTTGGCGATGGAAGTGTTTTAAAAGAACCGGTAAGAAATCTTGCAAATGATGCCGATTAAGCTAGATTTCGGGGAAGGGAGGGTTTGATTCTCCCAAATGTACAGGCCTAGGGTGGAGCAGACACTTTATTTAGAAATTAGGATTAAGGGTCTTGATATTGGGTTTTCTTCTGTTCTTATTCTGATCTGAAATTAGAAAAAATAACTCGCCCGATGGGCGAGAAGTATAGTATCTGTTATGTACTGATTGTTTTTAGTTTACTATGAACAATATTATCATTTAAGTTCTTATTTTTTGAATATGCAACTATCATTTTCTGCTTATAGACATGGGGGAATTTCTCTTGAAGGCTCTTATAGTGGGCATGAACTTGCTTGCTCGATTGCTGGTTGTATTAAACGGGACAACAAAGGGTGCTATGCCTACATTATGATGAATATTTAGTCCTATTGGTCTTGCTGTATTCAATGTCTCAATCCAATGGGCCTCCCTAGATTGACGGAATTTGGTAGTTTCATCTTCGGGCAAGTCAATTTCTATACGCTCAATTGGGATTAGGGTGAGATCGTCTATTGAATGGTCGTCGAGGTTGAAATGATTAGAAACAGGCTTGTCTATCTTTAATTTGATGTCTGACCTATGAGCATTAAAGCGAGTTCGTAAATTATTCTTAGTTTCTCCTACATATTGTCTGGGGCATTTCTTGCATGAAATTAAATATATTACATTCAAATGTTCACATGTTAGATGTTCCTGGATCGGGTACCTTTTATTCGTAGAGTTGCTTACAAAATAATGAGTTTCTGATATAAAGGGACATGTTTTGCATCTACTGGACAAACGTGGAGCACTTCTTAAACCTGGAGGTACTTCAGCATAAAGTCTGTTTTTAGCTGCTGTCTGTGCTAAGGTGGAATTTTTTATGTTTCGTAAAAATCGTTAAGAGTACCCACGCTCTTTCAGTTTTGAGAAAACATTCGTACAGGCTTGGTTGAAATCAGAAGGTTTTGTACAAATTCGATGAAATCGTAAAACTTGTGACTTAATTATACCAGAAAAGGTATGTTTTGGGTGAAAGGAGCTCTTGTGCAAGAGTTGATGAGTATCAGTTTCTTTGAAATACACTTTAATATCCAGTTTATTTGTTTCTGCTATGGAATCTCCCTTAAAGACTGTGGTATCGAGAAAGTCTGTGCTTTTGTCACTCACGTTTGCGGTTAGTTTGATAGAAGGATGGTGGTTGTTGAGAATTTCAAAGAATTCCCAAAACTGTTCGATAGAATAAGTCCAAACCATAAAAATGTCATCCAAAAAGCGTCCGTAAAAAAGTGGGTCAAATGGACAGAGGGGCAACACCTCACGTTCCGACTCTGCCATGAAAAGGTTTGCGTACGAAGGGGCGAATCGTTTGCCCATTGCTGTCCCTGAAGTTTGTAAATATGTTTTACCATTAAATGTGAAATCGTTTCGACTAAGACAAATCTCTAAAAGCTTTAGAATTGTATCGTCGGGTCTGTTTGGATCTGGGTTTCTATTAAAAGCTTTACGAACTGCCGTTAAACCAGTAGTGTTATCGATATTGCTATACATAGAAGAATTGTCGATAGAAATTAAAATAGCATTAGAGGGAACTCGAAGATTTTTTATTTTATTGACAAAATCGGTTGTGTCTTTAAGGTAGGCGCGATGTTGGCATGCTAGAGGTAGTAAGAAATGATCAATGTATTCTGACACTGCATATGACTCACCACCACAGTCAGATATAATCGGGCGGCCTTTAGGGATTTTATTCGAGATAAACCACTCCTTGGTTGGATTCTTATGGATTTTAGGCAAAGTGTACAAATGTCTCTCGCGACAATCAGGTTTGGCAGACAGATAGTCATATTGTTTCTGTTTGAGATAAATAGTTTTGACTAAATCTGCAAGAATGTTATTAATCATGTTAGCAGTTTCTTTGAAAATTGGTTTCGGTAAAATGGCATAATGTTTAGGATTATTCAGTTGATTCTCTGCTTCTGAAACGTAATCCTCCCTATTCAGAATGACACAACATGAGCGTTTGTCACTCTTTTTAATAACAATGCTGTCGTCTTTCTTAAGTAAGTTTAACGCTTCACGTTCCACTCGTGTGAGATTAGGCTTTTCGTGTGTTATGGAAAGGTTCACTGTTTGGCTATTCATACTCGCAAATGATTTCAATATTTCAGGATGGATGGCGGCCTGAGGGGGTGTCCACGTGGATTGCAAATGCTTTCAATATTTCAGGATGGATGGCGGCCTGAGGGGGTGTCCACGTGGATTTAGGAATAAACATTGTTCTAGCACCACGTGGGGGGTGGTTTCGAAAAAAATATGTGCAGCTAAGATTTCGTTGAAATCGTTCAATGGATGGTCGGAGATAATTCAAGTTAGCTATCTTCGGTGTGGGAATAAACTTAAGTCCAAGGTCTAAGATTGAATGCTGAAGGGGTGTGAGAATTTTGCGGCTCAAGTTAACTACAGTTTGGCCTAGCGGTGGCCTCTTAGTATTTTTATCCCCAGTAATTAGTTTAAAGACTTACTCGATGCTTGAAGCTGGTGTATCCAAAACAAATAGGTGCAGTTTGCTGTTTCTGCAGACCAATGAAGATTATCAACTAGTTCGAATTCTTCTTCGTAGGGTGGTAAGATTGTTGCGCTGTTGATACTGGACTCCATCATCATGTTAGTGAGAGTGCTGAGGTTCTGTTGTGCTTTCTTCGAGATTTTATTTCAAATGGGTATACATGTGAAGAGGATCTTGGAGTTTGGGAAGGTTTTGTTGGCGTTGGCGATTAATTTCTGGGCTTGGTTAAAGGAGGTCTTTGGTAGCTTATCACGGTTGTTGAGGCCTACATGAAGAATAATGGTAGTAGGTTTGGGATCATGGTCGTATGATTCCAGGATTGACTGTATGTGATGGATTTGGGCACCGGGGTAAGAATGTATTTCGGTGTCTGAACTGGTTTTGGTAATTCGATTCAGGTTAGATGATCCAATTATTAAGGTAGATTTCTTTAGAGCAGGTAGCTTCCGTAATGATTTGTCCTTGGTTTGGTGATAATACGGTTTGGTAGCGGATATAATGGTCGTCGACGGTGTGATTGGTACTGGTTTGGTAGTTGTTAGAATTGTAGCATTGGGAACGGACTGGGATCTGGTTCGAGGGGGGGAAGGTCTGGATACACGTCTCGACTTGGATGGAGACTGAGGGGTGGTTTGCTGGTCCAAAAACGCACAGAAGGAAGAAAGGTTGGCGGATCCTGGATCACGTGGTGAAGATTCAGATGGTGTGGAAGGGGAAGACGAGTCTGAAAGTGAAAAGAGAGGGGGTGTGCCCTGTCTACGAGAGCGTTTACCTATGTCTGCTGGACTAGGAGTAGGTGAACTTCGGGCTCGAAACACAATAGAAAGAGTAGCACGAGCAGCTATTCATGGATTCGAAAAACGAGTACTTCAGTATAATAATGTTGTTGAGAATAATAGGTGGGGTAAGTACGTAAATTGGAAATTATATCCTTTATTCGGTCTGTTGGAACACAGAAAGGTTTCCATAGGGTTACCATATAAAATTCATCTACAAAGAGAAATCAACGATGATAAGATATTCTTTGGAGAGAATGCTTCAAATGCAAAATTAGAAATATCGAATCTCCAATTTTTCATACCCGTAATAACGCCATCAATTGAAGTAGAAACGAGAATATTCAACTCATAAACTAAAGATATTGAAATAGCTTTTCTTCATCGTAATACGGTAGGTAGCATGACTTTAACTGGAGAATCCACCACGTGGCCAATCACTAACAATATTAAATCAACAAGATATTTAATGGTTGGTTTCAACAACTTACCAGACTCTCAAACGAATAACAATAATGTCTTCAGAGTGGCAATGAACCAAACTCAAGATCCTTTAATCCGTAAAGTTCATGTAAGATTAAACAACGATAATTATCCTAACCAACCTTTAACGATTAATCCAACCACAAAGGATTATAATGAATTGTATAGAAACTATAAAAATATGTGTGAATTATTTGGAAATCTACGGAGTGAACATAAATATTCATATTGAAAAAACACAAGGAGATGTGACCGGGTATTGTTTACTACTCGAAGAAGCAAAACATTTAATTAAAATATCAGATAGAAGAATGATAAGAATTGAGTAAAAAATACACCCTTAAAAATGAAACCAGAAACTTTAGTTAGAAAATAATAGAAGCTGTTTCAACAGCTTCCCCAACTGTAATAACTTTCAATGGTAAAAAATCAGCATAACTAAAAAAACTTATTGATAAATACAAATACTGTAAAGTCAGAGACGAGATAGACTTAGAAGGAATTGACGCGAACGCAAAAGAAGGTGGATTTTTACCTCTCCCACCTTTGATATTTGGTGGTATTGCAGCGGCTGTTGGAATAACATCTCAAATAAAGCAGCTAAAGCAACAGCTGCCGAAGAACGCAGACACAATTTAGAAATGGAAAAGCAAGCACGAGGTTCAGGAGTTGCAGATGTATTAGGTACAGTTAAAGAATTTGGAAAACGATTTGGGGAAGAAACCAAGAAAACTGTTAAATAGGGATTAAATTAGATAGTATTGACATATTTCCTAATAACCCAATGCTCAGGTGTATATGCGGTAGTTCCGGTTCTGGGAAAACTCATCTCACTTTTAACATCTTGACAACACCAAACCTTTTAGATTTCGATTCACTATATATCTACACAACAACACCAGAGCAATCGTATTATCAATTTCTCAAAGCTTTAGAATATCTTCCAAAGAAAGATGTTCAAGACATATTTCAATATGACGAAGAAAACGAAGAAGTGGAAATAAAAGATATCATAGATAACTACATTAAACCAAAGAATCCAACGGATATAAAAGTTTTTCTTACGAAAAAATGTTAATGGCCAAGGCTTGTCTAATATTGAAAGCAATCGAAAGAACTTAATATTGTTTGATGACTGCGTACCGCAAAGAAATCAAGCTGTTCAACAAACATTCTTCACGAAAGGAAGACATCACAACTGTCACTACATATACCAATCCCAATCTTTTTACGGGATGGATTCTATGTTCATTAGAAAAAATGCAAATTGTTTTTTATTATTTGAATTAAACGATAAAGATTTATCTCAAATCATTCAGTCGATAAATCACGGAATGGACAGAGATGCATTTAAAAAGGTTTGTAAAGCTCAATGGAAAAACCCAGATGATCATGGATATGTATTTGTAAATACTAGAAAACCTGCGGGTGAAAGACTTATGATCGACATATGTTAATTTTATTTTTTTTAAAATGAGTAGTGAATAATATAAAAAGAAATACAGAATATATCAAAGCTAAGAATAAAATAAAGACCCAAGTTGATAATAACAAATTACAACAACTTGGATTAACAGAAAATCTACAAACTCTATTTCAACCAATATTAAAATCTCAAGAGGATATTAAAAAGAAATTAGCTTTAGAATATAGACCTCCTATAGAGCCTCATAAAGATCACCCAGAACCAAATCAATATGGTGGTATTATAATTAGGACATTAGATGATATTAATAGTCTTTTTTCAAACCCTAAAGCAGATTTACCAAAGAGTATTACACCAATCATTGATGATGAGGGGTTATTGTTTAATGGATTTAGAATAAAATTTAGGGAAAATTCCCCTTTATTCAAAATCGATACAAGACACTTGATATTTACATTAACAAAAGGATTAATAGATTTAATGAATGGCGGGTATATTGGCATTGCCGATTACAAGGATTTCCTAGCATACTCAAAATTTCTACATGCAATAAGAAAGTCGGGACCCGAAACAAAAAGATCGAAAGCAGTTGAGACATATATAAAAATTATTCCTGATGAATATGAAGATGATGAATATGAAGATGAGATATCAAATGATTATGCAGAAGATTATCCAATCATACAAGAAATAGACGAATTCGTTGATATGGTGGCATCTGGACAAGGTATAACGTTTTTATCCGACAACAACGAGGAACTACTTAATAGATTACGAGTAATATTAGCGGCAATGAAGGAAGGACATCGATCACACAGACAATATAATGAAGTGAATTGAATACTAAAAAGACTCCTAGAGAAAGGTATTATAGATAAAAATGATAATAAAAGCGTGATTAAAAATGTCAAATAAAGAACAACTATTCGTTATCACCTCAAATAAATCAGACATTAAATTGTCTCTAGATTATGAGTACGAACTCGATCGCAATCAAGAATATGAATTGGGATTAAAGTATTTCTCTGTTTACAATTCCATTATAAATATCAACGAAAAAAATAATCAAATAAAAATATCAACAGACAATGGAGTTCAAAACCATGCGTTTACTACCAGGAAGCTACGAATACGTAGCCATTAACGAATACCTATCTGAATATGGAGGAAGTGCAAATGGTAAAAACAATATTGAATTCGAAGGTAATTTAAATCTGAACAAAATAAAATTGATATTAAGAAATAATAGTCAAGTTGATTTCAAAGTAGAAAATTCATTGAATGCGTTACTAGGATTTGATAAACAAATATACACGCAATCCACTTTAGCACCACACAAAGCTAATATTGAGAATGATATCGATGTCATAAATATACATTGCAATTTGATAAACGGTGGATTTTTCAATAAATACAAACGTCAGATTATTTACAGTCTTCCAACATTCACTGTACCGATTGGATATAGAATTATAGAGAAACCATTTCAAACGACATATTTACCACTTAATTCCTTTATGATTAAAGATATAAATCTGGAAATCAAAGAACTTTCTTTTGTTTATCATCATCCTTTGGAATAACTACTCCATTGGTGAAACTTTTTTCCCATGGTTTCTTAAATTCATTCGTCACACCATGTCCACTAGCTAATCAGATATAATCTTCTACAGCTATCTTATCATAAGAGTAACCCCTTAAACGTTTTCTTTTCTTTCAGAATACCGTCTTGAATATCGACCGATGTTAAAACTTCTGAACAGAAACCATTTCTGAATCTGATTTTACTGCCAGTTTCCTTATTACCTTCTTTGTTCGTAAAAGTAATTTTATCTTTAGCTGGTATGGGTTGGGAGAACATCTTGGTAGGATATTCAAACCAGACTTTTAAAATAGCCGTTCTAGGTCTGAATTTCTGCTCACTAAAGAGCTTAACAAATTCTTTATTTTCTTTCGGTAGAAACGGTCTACCACTTTCTGCTCTCGGATATTCGCTATCTAAATCCGACATGGCGGAAGCGTACAAACCGTTAGCACCAAAGGCCATTAGTTTAGTACATTTATTTTTTTAAGTTTTGAATTAACTTCCGTTTTATCTTTTTTACTTTTACTATATTCTTTAAATAAATCAATTATATTATCACTTGGTGTTTCACTAAACTCCTTTAATACATTACAAATTTCATCCATTTTATTCGTTTCAAATGATTTTCGATTTGCCGAAAATCTTCCTCCTTTAATGGATTGTGTGATAAAATATCTTATAAAAGGGTGTGTATGTGTGTACGTTTTCTTTTTCGGTGTGTTTCGGAACCATTCTAGTACTTTCATACCATCGTAGCCGTTAGATTATTGAAAATATTCTGGAATACAACTTCTTTCATAACTTTGTTATAATTTATCAAACAAGCTCCGAGACATAAAGTATCTCTTTTAGCGTAAGGTTCCCATTCGTGGCTTAAAGATTCCCAATTATCTTCGGTGTATTTTGCAATATTAATATCGGTGATCTTTCTCAAATTCATCGGTAGATTAGATGAATTTCCCCATGCCGCCTAACTATATTTTTCATGTTGATAGGAACATATGAAATGAACATTTTGCAAATAATTAGAGTTGCCATTATTTGTTTTGGTAAATATTCATCGGTGAATAAATTACTAGTTACTAGTGGACATTGCGTTAGTTTTTTCGCATTTTTAAACACGATCCAGTTATCAAAACCGCTACCGTTATGAGAAATTAATGTTATTCTTTTTTGATCTATTTTTCCTAAACGTTGCAACATTTGATCGATGCAATCTTTACCCACAAATATTTCTACTATATTCATTAATTTATTACAAAATTCTTCTGGAACACTATCAGTGGGATTTAAATTTGGAAAGTTGTGTTTTATTCTGTTTTTCATTTTTCTTAGTTTTTCTAAATTAATTAACGTGCAAGAATAAGGAATGGAATAGGTTTCGCAATCCCATGCGTAGAAACAATCATCGTGAATTGTTGGAAAAACGTTTAGTTTTAGAGGTGAAACTTGTGTTACCGCATTATCATCTCTCCATACGTTTTCATCGTAATTATCTTCTATTTCTTTAATGCCTAAGGTTTTGTTATTTCTTCTAATCAGACAGAAATGTGATTTATGTAAGTAATATACCCAATCTAATTCTTCGGATATTCTTTGGTTGAAAATGTATATGTTTGGGCATATAAATTTGAAAATAAGTATTAAATTTCTTATTAAATTAACAGATTCTAGCAGTTGACATAACTCCTTTTCTGTTTGATTTTGAAAAACTGTTGATGAAATCTTGAAATTCTTTTGTGTAGTCTTCGTTTAAAACACGATTTACGCACTTTACAAAGCAGTATCCATCGCTTAGTATATAACAATTTATACCGATATATTCATTTATCTTTTTGAGTAGGGTAACACCACTACTCTTTTTTGATCTTTTTATTTCTTTGAAATTGTTTCTACGTAAAATGATTTTTCCTGAGAAATACCAATTAGAAGCATCCGATTTTACATCCACAGTTGCGAAGAAATTGTGAAAAGTTTTGGCATTATAGCCTACAAATTGCATTTTTTGTTTGTGTTCACCATCTTGAATTATCTCTCCATCTAATTCAATTTGTCCTTTAAATGTATCAAATTTATCAGAGATAAGGTTAATAATACTGAAAAAAAGTTCATTTGATATGAAAGTTTCATCGTCTAAAATTTCAATTTAGGCAACTACTTTTAACTAGGAGTTTTTAACTTGTATTGATGATATTTCCACATCAAATTTATCTAAAATTTCATTGAATTTTTCTAATTCTTCAATGGATATGTTCTTATCTTCTTTGGATCTTTCGAAAAATATAAACAATTTATTAAGATATCTATTTAAAATTACATTCTGATAAAACACATTCAGTTATATTTTACACATAAATTTGCATTTAAATTGAAAAAAATTAAATTTAAGAAATGCTTAAATGCTTGTCTACATCTAAATTTCTTAATCTTCTATCAAATTCTTCATCATCATCTTTGTTTTCGAGAAATTCATTCATTTTTAAAAGTCAGTTTTTTGAAGTTCGTTTTGATAAAACCTATCTATGATTTGTTCTTTGTCTCGATCGATTAATTCATATGTCGGAGGTGATGTGGTGTTTACTTTATCAACGATGAATATTTCGTTTGTCCAGTATCCAACGTAACCTTTTTCGAATTTACTTTTATATTTGAAAATACGAACTCGATTTCCGACTTTAAATTTGGGTTTGATATTCAAATTCTTTATTTCATTTTCGTAGTTATGTTGTGCG